TTGCTGGGTTTTGTTTATGTATCCATTCTGTTAGTCTGTGTCTTTTTGTTGGAGAATTGAATCCATTGATATTGAGAGAGATTAATGATCAGTGGCTGTTAGATCCTTTGATTTTGCTGTTGGCTGTGGTCATAAGTTTGTGTGCTTGGTTGCTTTTTGTTTTACAGTAGTGAGGTTAATTATTTCCTGTGTTTTCTTGAAAGTAGCTAGTTTTCTTGGGTTGTATTTTCCCTTCTAGTGTCTTCTGTAATGCTGGATTTGTGTGTAGGTATTGTTGAAATTTGTTTTTGTCATTGAATATCTTGTTTTCTCTGTCTATGAGAACTGAGAGTTTTGCTTGGTATAGTAACCTGGGCTGACATCTGTGTTCTCTTAGGGTCTTGCATGATATCAGTCCAGGCCCTTCTGGCTTTCATAGTCTCTGTTGAAATGTCAGATGTGATTCTAATGGGTTTGCCATTATATGTTACTTGGCCTTTTTCCCTTGCAGCTTTTAGTATTTTTTCTTTGTTCTGTATACTTACTATTTTGATTATTATGTGGCGGGAGGATTTTCTTTTCTGGTCTAATTTATTGGGTGTTCTGTAGGTCTCTTGAATTCTTATTGGCCTCTCCTTTAAGTTGGGGAAATTTTCTTCAATGATTTTGTTGAAAATATTTTCTGGGCCTTGGTGCAGGGAATCTTCTTTTTCCTCTATTCCTATTATTCTTAGGTTTTGTCTTTTTATGTTGTCTTGAATTTTTTGGACTGTCTGTGTCAGGAATTTTTTAGATTTAACATTTTCTTTGACAGATACATCTATTTCTTCCATTGTATCTTCCACACCTGAGATTCTTTCTTCCATCTCTTGTAGTCTATTGGTTATGCTAACCTCTGTAGTTCCTGTTTTCTTCCCTAAGTTCTTTCTCTCCACAATTTCCTCCATTTGTGTTTTCTTTAATTTTTCCAATTCTATCTTCAGATATTGAACCCGTTTTGTTGATTTCCTTCACCTGTCTGACTGTATTTTCCTGTTTTTCCTTCAATTCCTTCAGCTGTTTGTTTGAGCAATCCTCTGTTTCTTTTATTTCTTTCAGTGATTTAAGCATTTCCTCTCTAAAGGCCACAAACTGTTTGGCTGCAACTGTCTGTATTTCTTTATGGAAAGGCATAATCTGTTTGTTTTTATCTTCCTCTATTTCTTTACGCATTTTATTTGTTTACTCTTTATCCTCTTCATGAGCATAGATTTTAGGTCATCTTTTTGAATTTCAATTATTCTGGGGTGTCCAGGGCTACTTGCCCCTGGATAACTGGGTTCTGGAGATTCCATATTGCTCTGGCTTTTGTTGGTTGAGCTTTTACGCTGGCCTCTACCCATTGGGCTATCTTAGGTGTTTGGAGATAGTTTCTGGTGGTTCCTGGTATCCTGTGATGGAGAGATTCCCCTTGGCAGGAAGATGGTTTTTCCTGAAGGAAGCCTTCTCAGCTTTTTGGGTATAGTCACTGGATGGCTGGTGTTTTTCAGGAGTTGCCGCTGCTCACTGGGTTTCTTGCTGTAAATTTAGTGATCTGCTGCTGTAACCTGTGTGTCCCGTGGTTTGGTCAGTTTTGTTAGGGATAACTGGTTGCCCCTTGGAGCAGTATCTAGGGGTTGATCTTGGGGATCCTGGGCTTTTGTAGGTCTGAGGTTGGGGCTCTGTACCCCAGTACCAAAGTGGTAATCTGTGGTGGGTGGGTACCGCTCTCCTGAACAGCAGGCTATCTGGTGCACAGCAGGTCCCTGGGTTGGGCCGGTCTGCAGGACCTTTTCCAGAGATGTACTAGGTGGCCTAAGTCCATCCCCTTTCTTTGTTCCCTGTGAGGATTTCTCCCTGATAGTTACTCCCAGTCTCTCGTGCCCTGGGGCTCACAGCTCTGTCTGTGCTGGAGGGCTGGATGCGCAGCAACTGTCTGTGCTCGCAGCTGGAGCCCAGTTCAGTGATGGCAGCTCATACCCGCTGGTCTGTGAGACTTTTTCCAGGGAAAGACTGGATGACCCAAGTCAGTACCGTTTCCTTCCTTCCCTGTGGGGTTTTCTCCCGACAGGGACTCTCAGTCTCTGTTGCCCTGGAGCACACAGCTCTGTCTGTGCTGGAGAGCTGTGTACGCAGCAATTGTCTGTGCTCACGGCTGGAGCCCAGTTCAGTGAAAGACTGGGTGACCCAAGTCAATACCATTTCCTTCCTTCCCTGTGGGGTTTTCTCGCCCCTGGGACTCCCAGTCTCTGGTGTTTTTTGTGCCCACTGATCAGCCTGGGAAGGTGATCAGGACATGCAGGCGCGTGGCTCTGGTCTGGCAACCTAGTGCCTGCGCGACCCGGTGTCTCTTCCAGGTTCTGGCTGGGTGACCTGAGCGTGGACCCGACTGATTCCCATGCTGTGGGAGTTTCCTCTCACCTGGGAAACACAATCGCTGTTGTTTTAGGGCCCAGAGTTCAGTTTCTTGGTCGCTGCACGGAAAATGTTGTCCTGCTCCTCAGAGGCAGTGTTCTCCTGGCCTCTTCCTCCTGTTTTCCTGTTCTCAGAATCTTAAGTGCAGGAGTTGTTTTGCCAATGACTCATCAGTGTGCGCTAGGAATCCTACAGCCGGTTGTTCTCTGCGCTTGAGTAGTTCTGGATTTCTGTAATGTTTCTCCTGCTGCAATGTCAGCAGGAGCTTCTTTGGTGAGGGTAATGATGGTGTCTCTTCTTAAAGGACAGTAATCCTAAATAATTAGGGTCCTGGCCCCGTGACCTCACTGGATACTAGTAACTTCTTGAAGGGCCCAGGTCCAAATACAGCTGCTCTGGGAATTAGGACTTGAACTTCTGAACCTAGAGGCTATCTTCAGTTCTCATTCATTCCTCCCAACTGACATTCATGACATTTTTGGTTCCTAGGCAGTGTAGAAAATGGCTAAGCAAAAGACATTGAGGACTTGGTTGCTTCATTTTCAGACATGTTTCCTCCAAGAACAAGCTGTGAAACCTTAGGCAAGATGCTAATCTTCCTATGCCTCAGAATCTCTTTTTATGATGGTAAGAATTGTGTCTAGCTCATAGGCATACGAAAGTTCACTGGAAAGTATGTGTTCCATATAGTGCCTGGCATGGATCTGTCAACCAAGAAACCTTTAGTCTATTAGTCGGTCTATTTCTGTCAGATTTTTAACAATGTGGATTATTGTCTACTGTGTTTTTCTCCTTGTGGCACCTAGAACAATGTCTCAGATGCATTAAGAATTCAAAATATTTAGCCAATGAACTAATACTACAGCTAATCAGTGGGTAAAGCAATCAAAACCACATAATATTTGAAAAACGTTTGCCTTTTCAGCACTTTGCTTTTGCTTTTGATATTGTTTTAAGGCTTTAATTTTAATACAATAGAGTTTATTACTTGACTCACTGTTTCCTCTTTCTGACCAAGGCTCATTTCTACTTTTATTTCTGGTTATATTCATTTGTCTTCATCCCCCATTCTTGTTCTTTGTCCCTCTTCCCCTAATGGAAAACTATTTGAATGTGGAGAATACCTTCTGGGAGTTTTTGTGTTGTTGTCATAGTTTTATTTTGTTTTGTTTTGTTTTTGAGGTAGGGTCTCACTATGTAGCCCTGGCTGGCCTGAAGCACACTATGTTAAATCAGGCTGACCACAGATACCAGCGATCTGCCTAACTCTGCCTCCCAGGTGCTGAAACGAAAGGGGTTGGCCACCACATCTGACACCCTTTTTAGTTTTGTCATAAAACATCAAGTCTCACATGTGCATATTTTAGGATGTCCATTAATGTCAGCGTGTCCTCTATATCAACCTGTCATATTCTTTTTCTCTCCACTACTTTTGCTTTCTTATTCTTTGTTTTTGTTACTTGAACAATAAACAGTAGTGTTGTCTATTTCTTTTTTAATTTATTTATTTACATCTCAGTCATAGCCCCCTCCCTTTTCTCCTTCCAGTTCCTCCCTCCCTTCCCTCCCATCCCCTATTCCTCAGAAAAGTGGAGCCCGCCTACCCACTCACCCCAGCTCATCAAATCACATGGTGACTGAGTTTGTCCTCTTTCCCTGTGACCTGGTAAGGCAGTCTCATCAGGGGAAAGTGATCAAAAAGTAGGCAACAGAAACATCCCTGGCTACCTTACTAGTGGACCCACCTGAAGCCTGAGCTGGCCATCGACTACACATATGTAGAGGACCCAGGTCCAGTCCATGTGTGGTCCTTGCTTGGTCCTTCAGACTCCACAGGCCCCTCTGGGCCCTGGCTAGTTGGCTCTGTTTGTCTTCTTGTGGAGCTCCTGTCACCACCAGGTCCTTTTACCCTTCCCCCTACTTTTTCCCTACTTTTTCACTACTTTCACACCCAATGTTTGGCTGTGAGTCTCAGCATCTGTTTCAAACTGTTGTTTGGTGGAGCTTCTCAGAGGACAACTCTCATAGGTTCCTGTCTGCAAGCATAGCAGAGTTATCGGTAATAGTGTCAGAGGTTGGCTCTCTCCCATGGGATGAGTATTGGGTTGGATCAGGCATTGGTTGGACATTCCCTCCATCTCTTATCTATCTGTCTTTGCTTCTCTTGAAATTTGCATGAATTTACATTGTAAAGATAATTTGTATGATGTGTTAGAATTCTAAAGTTAAACACTTACATTATTTTGCCATAATAAGAAATAAAAATAAAGATATTATATTAAAAATGAAATTATCCAAACTGCTTAAAAACACTAGGTTGGGTTTTGTTTTGTTTTTACTTTGAGGAACCACATTTTTGGATTGCACTGAAGTTTTTTTTACTTTGAAAACTTTGAGACACTCCTTTAATTTAAAGAAAAATGCCTGAAGGACATGGGTTTGATGATGTCATTGTAGATTCTAATAAAGCCCACTGGGTATTTTATAGAATCATTTACTTGTTGCTTTTACAGACCACAAGAAATTAGTATATGTGTTTCTGATACTGTCAAAGTTCATTTTTAATATACTTATATACACTTCTACAGTTCCTCCAAGCGTCATTGGTCCTAACCGTGACCAGCTCTCTGTGGTGGTGAACCATTTCATCTCTTTGACCTGCGAAGTTTCTGGTTTTCCCCCTCCTGACCTCAGCTGGCTCAAGAATGAACAGCCCATCAAGCCAAACACTAATGTTCTCATTGTGCCTGGTAAGGAGCTTGCTCATAAGATGGGCCATGCTATTTCCCCTCATTTTAAAACAAAGATTGTTTCAACCTAATATCTTCCCAAAGTCGAGACTTCTCCCTTTGTTCACAGTACCCACCTATAGTCGTTAAAGACGAGTATAGACTTTTATGACCTCAATGGAAATGTACAGTAATTGGTTCTTCAATAAATTATGAAATTAAGTATCAGAAAAATTGGGTGATCCCTAGGATAAATGGTAATTAGCCACTGTAAAAACCTCCTGGTGGCTTCCAGTGAATCCCAATCTTCTTGAGCATGGATGATATGTAGTTAAACACATAGGTAAATGATACAGATATGATAGACAGTGAGGGCCATTAAGAAGCCTCAGAGGCTAAAGGTACTTTCTGTAAAACCTGACCACTTAAATCTGATCCTGGGACCCACATGATGGGAAAAAAGAGAAGGTATTCCCACAAGCTGGCCTCTGACATCTGCCTACGATAGCATACCTCCTCCAAAAAGAAGTTTGTATGTGAAAAAATAACATTTAAAAAAGAATAAAGAGTGAACAATATGTACTTGAGTGAAGAATGGAGTTCAGAAGCCAGCCGTAGCCTATGCCCCACATGCGTCTAGACAGCAATGAGCACAGCCCAGCATTTGCAGATGGCAACATCATGCAGCACTCTCAAAACCTGGACTCACCTGAGAGAGACAGGTGGCAGACAAACCGTCACCTTTGCACTGTGGAGTTTAAATTCAGACATCACTTGCTCAATTCCCCAGACCTACAGAAGGAGAGAATTCCCGGAAGCATGCATACACAGACACACACACACAAAATGCAATAACAACACAATTATAAACAACCTCTGTATCTTTTTTTACATTATATCTGCCCCAGGTGGTCGAACTCTACAGATTATTCGGGCCAAGGTATCTGATGGCGGTGAATACACCTGCATTGCTATCAACCAAGCCGGAGAAAGCAAGAAGAAAGTTTCTCTGACTGTTCATGGTGTGTTTTCACTCTCTGTAATTTCATATTGTATTTTCTTAGCTAAGCGATTTGATGAAAAAACAAATTGAATATTCTCCTTTTGTTTCCCGCCTCAGTACCCCCGAGTATTAAGGATCATGGCAGCGAGTCTCTTTCTGTAGTTAATGTGAGAGAGGGGACCTCAGTGTCGTTGGAATGCGAGTCAAATGCTGTCCCTCCTCCAGTCATCACCTGGTCTAAGAATGGGCGGATAATAACGGATTCTACCCACGTGGAGATTTTAACTGGTGGACAAATGCTACACATCAAGCAAGCTGAGGTGCATCTCTGGTCCTTTTCTGAGTGTTGTGCCTCCGTGCTGGGGTTGTGGAAAAGATAACTGGAAGAGGCCTACTCCCCTTACTACAGCAAACAGTGCTATTCATGGAAAAGTGCATGGTCAATGCCATTGAACTTATTTTCACTAATAAAAAAAAAAAAGCAAACCAAAGAAACAGGATTTCTGAAGGCAACTAGAAGTGGGGCAGTTGAGCATAAAGATGACTGATGACATAATCTACTCCTGAACCCTGTGATTGGTCATCTATCACTTAATGGAGCATATACAATAGTATCTTTTTCTTTTAGGTGTCTGACACAGGCCAGTATGTATGTAGAGCTATAAATGTAGCAGGACGAGATGATAAAAATTTCCACCTCAATGTATATGGTGAGCATCTGCCTCTAGTACAACTCTTTTTCCCCTAGACATGCAAATGAAAGAACATGTCTCGAATTAACTTAATGACGGTGTGTGCTCTTCTTCTGTCTTTTCACAGTGCCTCCCACTATTGAAGGGCCTGAAAGCGAAGCAGTTGTGGAGACCATCAGCAATCCAGTGACACTGACGTGTGACGCCACTGGGATCCCGCCTCCCACCATAACATGGTTAAAGAACCACAAGCCTCTCGGTAACATACCTGGACATCTTTGTGGTTTCCTTGCTTTGCCTTTAATTCACCGCCTTAATAAATTAGCACACGTGTCAGTCTTGTGCTCTTGCCTGTGATTAGTTCTAGAAAGCCTAAGATCCTGAAATATAAGTTTATCGAGTAGTAAACATTTATAAACATTTGCTTTGTTAAGGAACTGTACATTGAAGCGAGCGCCTTGTGCATTCAAGGCAAGGTCTCTGCCACTGCAGTTTACCCCAGCATTTCCAATTTTGTTTTTCATTTTGAGGCAGGCTCTAGCTAAGTAACGAAGCAAGCCTTCACCTCCCAATACTCTGCCTCTCAACTAGCTGCGATTGTAGACCTGAATTCCCTAATATATATATATATATATATATATATATATATATATTTTCATGCTTCAAAAAAAATTCTCATTAAAAATACAAAGGCAAAACTTTGTATATTTGTTACATGAAATGAATGGCTTTAAATGTTCTTTCTTTCTCTTTTTTTCTCTTTCTTTCTACCTGTAGAAAATTCTGACCCACTTGAGGTTAACATTTTATCTGGAGGAACTAAACTGCAAATTGGCCGACCTCAGCATTCAGATAGTGGAAACTACACCTGTGTTGCAGCCAATATGGAAGGAAAGGCTCAGAAAAACTACATCCTTTCCATTCAGGGTGTGTTAACTCCACTGTAACCTGTCCTTTCTTTGTCATATTCCATCTTTAGTACAAAATGGCCTGTATCAAAATAGACCATTGATCGTTGATCAAATATCTCCTGGTCACTGGAAATATTGATACCTTTTTCATGAATTTACCAGTACAATCAAAATCACATAAATATGGGAAGGAAAAAAATAACAGAATTTAGGATATCTCTGCTTGGTTTTAATGAAAGCGTTACATTTCTGTGAAATCGTGATGTTTTATTTGTTATAATTTATTTTCATACTAACACTATAAATCTGTTCTTAGTTTTAAAGATATGTAAGATTTTATTTGTGAGATTGTGCTATGGTTTCATCATGGGTGTAAGAGTATGTAAACTTCAAATAATCGTGAATCTTGCAGTTTTGTACTAAGAATAAGGAGCATCAATTCACCCAAGAAATCTCACTAAAGCCTGCATTGTGGCATAGTCTTGAGATTATAGGGAGCACTTGTTGCTTTTTGATTTTCAGCAAACCTCTGAGTAATGCATTTGACTCAAAAAGACATGGAAGTCTTGCTTTCTGATTTCATCACAGTTACTAAAGAATTTCTAGTAAATCATACCCTTGTAAATCATATCTGCTGTTGCTGTGTTAAAGCTAAAATTATAGGAAAAGAAAATTGATTCAAGATTTCTGCAAAAAAGTACTAATGTTTTGAGATTTGAGAGACAGAAAAGGTAAAGTACCTCTTCAGAAATACAGGAAAGAGCTACAGTATCTTCCTGGAGCTGGCAGGATGTCTAACTAGAAAAAGACATCTGCCATCGAGTCTGAGAAACTGCGTTAGAGCCAGCAGACCCACATAGTGGAAAAAGGAAACCAGATCCTACAAGCTGTCCTCCAACTTCCAAACATACACTGTGGCACATGTGTACTCAAAAACATATAACATATACACAAAATAAATAAAATCCAACGTAAAATTAAAGAAAAATAAATTGCCTGCTAAATTATGCGATTTATGCATATCATCAATAATAATATAAATCACAAAGTATGTTGGTGTGGCCAAACATTTTCTAAAATTCATTTTAATATCTTTACATAATGTCTTAAAACTAGGAAAAATGCATATACATAAACCCTAATTAGGACAATTTTCATTACTATATTTAGTAACAATTTCTTTGGTACCCTAACTTCATTATTCCTGGTGACTAAAATGACATTTAGAAGGTAACACAGTATTGTGTTAGTAACTATTTGATAATTGACTCTCCAAACAAACAGACAACAAAAAAAGATACTGATATGTAGCTACAGTGTGTCTGTGTGCTGGTATGTGTATGCCCAGGGTGGCCCATTTCCAACTGTCATAGTGACAGTGAATATGGAGTAGGAAGTCAGGCCAGACAGGCTCCTGTGAACAAAAATGAACTGCTTCTGGCCCATCTCTGTCATTCTGTGGCACAGAAGTTCAAATGTTTTCCTTTCTGACCCTTTAAAATTTGTACTTATGGTGTATAGTTGTTTTGCATAAGTGTATGTCTGCACCACATGCATGCCTGGTGCCCAGAGCACAGAAGACCTCAGATCTCCTGGAACAGTAGGTATAGATAGTTGTGAACAGCCATGTGGGTTCTGGCAATCGAAACTGAATTTCTGACCAGTGTTAATGTCCTTAGTACACACCAAGGAAGACCAGATAAAAAAGAACAAAACCTATTGGAGTTGGAAAGCATAATATGTCCATCAAATTTTCATAATAAGTAATTATTCTTTATTATAATTTTATTACAATGTTTTAAAAGTTGATTGTCTTGAACTATATGAATTACAAGCAATCCACTGAAGCTTAACCTAGGGATGATTCTATGAAGTTGCCCACAGATCAATCAATTATCAGTTCTTATGACTGAACAGTTCCAGGAATATCAGGAACATTGAAGTAATTTGATGCTTTAGTCTTTCTCATTTAAGAGTAATTAATGAAGGTAACTATATGCCAGTGTTGTTATTAAAACAAAAATCCTAACTGTTCTGTTTTACCAATGAAAAATCAGGAGCCAGATGCTGGGGTGAAAATCTGCCAGCTCAGAAAAGCAGAGAAAGCACTCTGCTGACCTTCCTATTCAGCTCAAGTCCTAATGGGGGTTGGGAGGAGAGAATTTCTTACTCAGCTCACATCCCAGATGGTGAAAACAAAAAGCCTGCTAGCTCACCTGAAAGCCCAGGAGGAGAAAGCCAAAAACTCAAGGACAAAGAGATAAAGAACCCAAGAGCTAGAGAACTAAAATCTTTCTCCACGCTGTCTTAAATACTCTTCTCTCAAAGTCCTTCCTTTCTGTTAATCCCTCTCAGCTGGTCACTTGCTCTATCTCTTGACCTAGGGTCAACTTTATGAAATCCTGTGTACAGAAAGCTCTAGGATTAAAGGTGCGTGTTAGGACTGAGCCACTCCAAACAAAAGACAGGTTTCTACAGTTCACAATCTCTGAGATCACAATGGGATCAAATATCTGCAACATTTCCCCATTTTTGTCTAAATAAAAGACTTTTCTCTACCATCAATAAACTGTATAGTATCTGGTAAAAAATACATTCATAATGTCCAGTCCATATGTATTTAGCAACCTTGAAGAAAGTTCTCTACTATCTATCCTATTTTGGTGAGTCCAGAGTTCTGTACCTAAATCACTTTGTATCATAACTTGCATTACCAATTAAAAAAAAAAACAACAACATTTTTTAGACCTAAAATGTCTTCTTAAATCTTAAACAACTTAAATTTAATTCTGAGCCTATAAGTATCTAGTCTTCAACCTAATCAAAGACCTGAGAAGGATAAATATTATCTGAATAAACAGGAAGTGCAGAGTAAGCAGCTTCCGAAACTATAGAAATGACAGAGATTTCTGGATGCCTGGAGAGTCATCCAAGATTGCTCTCTAGTGTACCATCATCTCCAGCCTTCTGGCTCAAAATATCTGACAAACTTTTCTCTGAAGCTGATAGTATGAAGGACTTGCCTACCTTGTCCTTGCAAAGCTTGGCAGTTGACTTTCCTGCAACCAGTTTGTCCAGTATTCTGTCTACAGTAGAAGCAAGGGCATTTTCTTGCCCAGTGGCTAGCGAGCCACATATGAAGCCATTTCTTAAAGGAGAATTTTTTTTGATGCCCATCATTTTCAGAATCGAAAGGAGCTGACTTGTCTCACTGTCAATTTTTTTTTAATTTTTATTATTATTTTATTCTTCCTCTGTGGCCTGGTAAGGCCACACCACCAGGGGGAAGAGGCTTTATTTGTAATAGCCAGAATCTGAAAACAACCTAGATGTCCCTCAACCAAAGAATGGATACAGAAATTGTGATACATTTATACAATAGAATACTACTCAGATATTAAAAACAAGGAAATCATGAAATTTGTAGACAAATGGATAGAACTAGAAAAGATTGTCCTGAGTGAGGTAACCCAGAAGTAGAAAGACACACACAGTATATACTCACTTATAAGTGGATATTAGCCATATAATATAGAATAAACATGCTAAAATATACAGACTTAAGCTAAACAACAAGGAGGACCGTAGGGAGGATGCTTAAATCTCATACAGAAGGGCAAACAGATGAGATACCAGAAGCAGCTGAAGAAGGGAAACAGGACGAAAACCTACCACAGATGTTCTTTGAAAGACTCTACCCAGCAGGGGATCAAAGTAGATGCAGAAACTCAGAGACAAAAGTTGGGCAGAGCACAAGGAATCTTATAGAAGAAGGGGAGGATAGAAGGACTCAGAGGAGACAGAAGTTTCACAAAGAGACCAACAAAGAATTCTTAAATTAAGCTAGGAAGAATTCTGAATTAGAAATCACATTTTCTAGGTCAGTGAGGTGGATCAGCAGGTAGAAATACTTACCACCAAACCTAAAGATGTGAGTTCAATCCCTGGGACCCACATAATAAGGAACCACCCAACTTACACAAGTTGTCCTCTGTTCTCTACATGCATGAGCACACAGAGGACACCTGTGTGAATGTACACATAGAGAAAAAAAGGTTACAACAGCAGAAAACAAATAGTATGTTCTACTATTCTGTCACATTCATTAGTATAGTATTTATATTACTATGCTTTCCTAATAAAAATCTTATCTAAAGTTCCTCCAAGTGTTGCTGGTGCTGAAGTTCCAAGTGAAGTCAGTGTCCTTGTCGGGGAAAATGTTGAGCTAGTCTGCAATGCAGATGGCATTCCTGCCCCACGTCTTCAGTGGCTTAGGGATGGAAAACCCATAGTGAACGGTGAAACAGAGAGAATCAGGTATGTTTAAAACAACGCATTTATTATAAATTATATGGTCTTCCATAGTGCTCTATGCTTCAGATTTCACACAAATAACACCAATTTCTGTTCTAGTTTGCTTTGTATTGATGTGATAAAGATCATGACCAAAAATAACTCTGAGAGGGAAGAATTTATTTCATTTTACACCTTATAGCCCATTATGAAATAAAGTTTAGGCAGGAAGTCAAGGCCAGAAATTGGAACTGGGCACTGAAACAGAGACAATGAAGAAATGCTGCTTACTGGCTTGCTCAGCCTGCTTTTATTTATTTATTTTTTATTACAATGTATTCACTTCTATCCCCTTTGCAGCCCCCTCCATCATCCCCTCCCAACCCCACCCTCCTTCCCTCTTCTCCTCCCTTGCCCCTCCCCCAGACCACTGATAGGGGAGGTCCTCCTCCCCTTCCATCTGATCCTAGCCTATCAGGTCTCATCAGGACTGGCTGCATTGTTTTCCTCTGTGGCCTGATAAGGCTGCCTCTCCTTCAGAGAGAGGTGATCAAAGAGCCAGCCATTGAGTTCATGTCAGAGACAGCCCAGTGTTCCCCTTACTTAGGAATTCACTTGGAGACTGGGTTGCTATGGGCTACATCTGTGCAGGGGTTCCAAGGTTATCTCCATGAATGGTCTTTGGTTGGAGTATCAGTCTCAGAAAAGATCCCTGGGCCCAGAATTTTTGGTTCTGTTGCTCTCCTTATAGATCTCCTGTCTCCTCCAGGTCTTTTTATCTCCCCCTACTTTCATAAGATTCCCTGCACTTTTCCCAAAGTTTGGCTGAGTCTCAGCATCTTCTTTAATACACTGCTGGGTAGAGTCTTTCAGAGGCCCTCTGTGGTAAGCTTCTGTATCCTGTTCTCTGTTTTCTCCCTCTTCTGTTGTCTATCCCATTTGCCTTTCTGAATGAGGATTGAGCATCTTACCCAGGGACCTCCTTCTTGCTTAGCTTCTTTAAGTGTACAGATTTTAGTATGATTATTCTATATTATATGTCTAATATCCACTTATAAGTGAGTATGTACCATGTGTGTCTTTCTGTTTCTGGGTTACCTCACTCAGGATGATCTAAAATGACAACACATGCTGGAGAGGATGTGGAGGATGGGGAACCCTCCTCCATTCCTGGTGGGAATGTAAACTTGTACATCCACTATGGAAATCAATCTGGCACTTTCTCAGACAATTAAGAATTGTGCTACCTCAAGATCCGGCTATACCACTCCTAGACATATATTCAAAATATGCTCAAGTACACAACAAGGACATTTGCTCCTGTTCATAGCAGCTTTATTCATAATAGCCAGAATCTGGAAACAACCCAGATGTCCCTCCACTGAGGAATGGATACAGAATCTGTGGTACATTTACACAATGGAATACTAAAAACAAGGAAGTCATAAAATTTGTAGGCAAATGGTGGGAACCAGCCTGGGAAGTTGGAACTCTAAATTCCTAAAGTTGCTTCTTGTTTTCTCTACCTGGCTGATGACTTCATCACTGTCTCATGATGCTATAGATATCTAGATAGAACAATTTATCAAGGTCAGCATTTCAAAGTCAACTCAGTAGCTTTGACTGTGACAACCTGCAATTTTAGTTTGCAATATACTTAAATTCATGGAACTTTAAATTTTACATATTGAGAAAAGTACAACCACATTCAGATAATATACTTTCAATATCTATCTCGAAGTGTGATATTTAATAATACACTAAGTATTAACTCATAATCAGAGGTGTTGATGAAATAACTATTTTTAGACTAGCTGTAGATGACATTTTAAACTTCTTCCTAAAGCATAGGAGGTTTATGTTTGGTGATTTATGGTATGTGGAGAAAATGCATAGTACAATAATCTTAACACAGGTATATTTTATTGTATAATTTTACGATTATCATTTACTTTTATGTAATTTAAAGGAAACACGTTAGCCATTTGAAAAAAAATTCAGAATACATCCACATACCTATGGCATCAGCACCCCTTAAGTAAACTGTACTACTTTGTTTCTTTTCATTGAAATATCATTAGGGTATTTCCAGTTAATTTCATATTCATTTATTTTAGCTTGTCATGTACTTCAGTTCATATTAGAACTGGCAAATTTTCACTTGGCTAGATAACTCATATTGGCCACTATGATATAACATTCATTTTTTAAAAATTCTTTATTAATAACACTTTATTCATTTTGTACCCCCCTGTAGTTCTCTCCCTCTTTCCCTCCCAATCCCTCCCTTCCTCCACCCTCTCCATGCATGCCCCTCCCCAAGTCCACTGATAGGGGAGATCTTCTTTTCCTTCCTTCTGATCCTAGTCAATTAGGTCTCATCAGGAGTGGCTGCATTGATTCTAAGGCTGAGAGAAAGGCACTTCCACTTGTTACGTTCCTGACTGGACTGTCTTTGTTTCCTTCTTCTCAGAAGGAGGTGATAAATATAAATGATTTCTGTATAATTTTAGTTCCCTGAAGTTGCCATCGATTTATGTGGCTCTGACTTTCTTATGTTTCTGCGTACCTGTGAAATAGGGTTAAATCATTCCACTCAAGATGGAGGGATTATATTATGATGGCGCTTATTTTGAAAGGACACAATAAAGTTGAATGAGTTTTCCAGCTTTTATTCCCACAGTGCCTGTGTCTGCCTTTTCTTCCACAGGGTCACTGCAAATGGGAGCACTTTAAATATTTACAGAGCTCTCACATCCGACACGGGGAAGTACACGTGTGTGGCCACCAACCCCGCTGGAGAAGAAGACCGGATATTTAACTTGAATGTCTATGGTAAATATGAAATGCCACCAGGTTTTGACTTAGCTACCTTAACAATCCATTAACGGGCCACAGGTGATTGGAGCATGTAACTGAAATCTGCTATCAATGATATCTTCTTTGGGGATACAAAACAGAAGCAGGAACAATTATAGTGCAAGTGGTTTGAACTCATATATCTTCTCTCTCACTTACTATGTGCATTCTGTAGTTCCACCTAAAATTAGAGGTAATAAGGAAGAGGCAGAGAAACTGATGGCTCTGGTAGACACGTCAATAAATATTGAATGCAAAGCCACGGGAACACCTCCGCCGCAGATCAACTGGCTGAAGAATGGCCTTCCCCTGCCCCTCTCCTCCCACATTCGCTTGCTGTCGGCAGGGCAGGTTGTCAGGTCAGACTGCACTGTATGCATTCCTAAATACTTCTGATGACAGTGATGGACAGCTCCTTCTTCACGTAAACTCAGCTTTGACTGCCCCTGTGCCACACTGTTCAGCTGCGTTCAAAAGAGGGGAGGATAAGAATACAAAATGGCTTTGTATTCTTATTTAAATGCTCATGCTTTGGTAAATGTGTGCATAACAGGTCCTGAAAGATGAACTGTTATCAAGTTTATATTTCTAAGAGCTGTGTTTTAAGCATGCTGACAATTCTCATAGGATTTTCATGCTACCATTTTTCTCTGTTAATGTGTTTGAAAAATGTTCACTCTACCAATTGTGTTGTATTCCTAGTGGATTGCCATTACTGCAGTTACCCTTCTGCAACCAATTGCAGTTGGAGGATATACATTTTGTGGCGATGATGACAAGCTTCATATCTAAGAATTTTCACTATAAACATCATTCTATAATCTGTTCATTAACCATAATTATCTTACTTTTGTCTGTTGAATGGCTTGATTGTAAAATGTGGGGCCTTGTTTTGCAGGATCGTGAGAGCTCAGGTGTCTGATGTTGCTGTCTACACTTGTGTGGCCTCCAACAGAGCTGGGGTAGACAGTAAGCACTACAGCCTTCAAGTCTTCGGTATGTGACAGAAATGATCCTCCTGCTCCACTGCAAGTTCAGTAGCACTAAGCAACACGCCTTTAGGAATTGACTTCCTCCCATTTTCCTAACACACACAGACCTCTCTCATACCCCACCCTCTCGTGTATTCCTGTGGCCTGTCTTCTACTTACTCTTCCGAATCCCTTTCTCTCACCTGGAAAACACAATCAGTGGTGTTTTAGGGCCCGCAGTATGGTCTGTTGGTTGCTGTGCAGTCACTGCTGAACTGCTAGTCAGACACAGTGTCCTCTCGGCGCCATCATCTTGCCCCCTCCCCAAATCTCTTTCTCATGTTCCTGTATAATATTTTGTTTTGTGATCTGCTGGGTCAGCCAAAGCTGACTGCACAATCATGAGTTTGAAGCTATCCATTGGAACCTGGTGGGTTTAGCAATGGGTACACAAATAACTGAAGATAATAGTTATTCCTCTTCTATAACTTATCAATAGTCAATAGTTGCTGGTAACAGATAGGGCCGTGGTAGTCCCTCTCCCTTCCATGACTGACTGTTGACTGGGCCAGTCTTGTGTTGTTGTCAGTTCATGATTGCAGTGGTTGCAGTGAATCTAGAAGACGGCATTTTCAGCCCTTTGCTTTTGCCTTATCTTCTAACTCTTACATGTGTCCCATCTGTATTAGTTTGTTTCTCTGCTTTGGTCATGAAGCAACATGAAGGCAGAGACTGAAGCAGAACCACAAACGAATACTACTTCTTGCCTTGTTCGCCATAGCTTGCTCAACTTACTTTCATATACAGCCAGGGCTGCCTACCTGGGGTGGCACTGCTCACAGTGAGCTGGACCTTCCTGCAGCAATCAAGAAAATGTCCCACAGATATACCCTCAGGCCAATCTAATGGCAGTAATTCCTCAACTGAGGTGCCCTTTCTCCAAGTAACTCTAGTTTATAATGACAAAACTAAATAGCATAAGGCCTTTTCTCCTTAAGAGTGTTCTCAGCTCTTAAAGAGAGTTGTGTAAATGATGTGTTTAGGGCAATCATGAGGCTCTGAATTCATCCCTGTTCACTGGGAGGAGAGGCATCTATGTTTTGGGCTGATAGTAACTTTTGTCCGTGGCATAGTGACAGAGATTTGGAAGGCTATTGTTATTAAATAACAGCAGTAAGTTCTCCATTCGAGCTTGGAGTCTTCTCGGTCACTGGTGTGTAACCTAGAATGCAATACCAATGCAACAGGTCTTAAATCTAATCAGAGTTGTTGGTAAACCCTATAGCATTTGTGCCACTGTTGCACAGGTGGCTACAACTTGCCCAGCAAGTTGGTTTTTCAGTATGGAGGATTCATAGCTGAGTAAGACAACGGTTACCTTTTCTCCCCAGCAGTCTGCATTGTGTACCTTCTAGCACACTTAGTTATGCAGGGTAACTCCATTCAATCCTGTGTGTGTGTGTGTGTGTGTGTGTGTGTGTGTGTGTGTGTGTGTGTG